GCCCTCTTACTGGCAAGATCCCTGTGGCTCAGAGCTCTATAGCTTAGAGCAGATGGATAAACTGAGGCCGGGAGAGAAAAGGATTTACCCAAGGGCACTCCCAGAGTCGCTGAAGAAGCCAGGTCTGACTCTCAGCCAGTCCCCTTCCCACCTGTTCCCACCCTGGGAGCAGAATGTAGGAGAAAGAGTTTGGGGGTCATAAGGGCTGAGTTCAAGGGCTGGCTCTGCAGCCTCGTTTTTCATGTGATAAATATTTACATCTCCATATGCCAGGAACTGTTCTGGGTACTGAGGATGCTGCAGTGAACAAGACAGACAAGGTCTCTGGGCTCACAGAGCCTCCATTCTAATTATGGGGAGACATAAGAAAAAGTAAATAAACAGTCTGAAAAAAGCATACAGTACGTACAATAAGGAAAGGAACGAAGTACTATGGTAGAGAACCACAGCTCTAGTTTAGCATGTTATAATTTAGAGGGGGGTGTCAGAAAACCCTTTCTGAGGAGGTAACATTGAGCTAAGACTTAAAAGATGAGAAGCAGGAAGAAGAATATTCCAGGCCAAAGAAAAGCAAGAGGAGAGGTATTTAAACAGGAAAGGACTTGACATCTCTAAGGAGTCGCAATGAAATCAGTATGGCTGGATCAAGGCCAGCAAGAGAAAGGATGGTTGGAGAGGAGAAAAAAGACTACTGAGAGCCTTTCGACCATGAGAAGAAGAATTTTATCTCATGTGTAATAGGAATCCATTGAGGAGATTTAAGCAGGAGAATGACATGATAGGATTCACATGTTTAAACCATCCCTCTGACAGTTGTGTGAAGAATGGATTGGAGGAGGCAGGAGTGGAAGCAGGGAGAGAGCGAGGCTTCTACAGTGATCCAGAGAGCAGGGGATAACAGCCTACACCAGGCACAGATGGGAGTAAGTGACTGCAGCTGGGATATGTTGGCGACAGAACTAACATGGTTTGCTAAACTGGGGGTGAGGGAGAGAGGACTCTTGTGTCTCTGACTTTAGTAACTGGCTGAGGATTTGCTGTTTATTTAGACAGAGATATGATGGATATCAGGAATTTTGTAGTGTCCTCTCGTGCCTGGCAGGACTAATTCAAAACCTCTCTGGATGAGGGCACACCCATCTTAGGCCTCAAGGAACTTCCGTAAGTTATTTGTCACAGGCATTGAGCAGAAGACAGTCAAAGATAACCAGACACACAAGAAAACAAAATCATATGAGCAAGAACTGGCAACACCAGACTTGCATAGACTGTAGACTTTGTATATTGGAATAATCAGTCACTGATTTGAAAGCAATTACATTTCTCATGTTTAAAGAAATAAATTACAAAGTCAAGAACATCTGCAGGAATCATGAAGCAATAACAGTGATAAATCAGGCTTGAAAAAGAACCAATAAAACCTCTAGAATGAAAAAAGTGAAAATTAAAATTTAAAGCTCAATTGGAAACAGAAAATTGGAAGAACCAGCAAGTCTTAGAGCCATATTTTTTTTTGTTGTTGTTTTGTTTTGTTTTTTGCCAAAGAGTATAAAACAATGTGCTAAGTGGTCCATTTGCACATTGTTTCAAAAGCAACTGCCTGTGGTCTGGGTATTTTAATGCATCACAAGCTACCGTAATCTATATGAGGTCAAGTTTAGTGAAAGTACACAATCCAACATATTATTTTCTGTTTCAGTTATTTGAGCACTTTGAAGAAAAGAAAAAAATTGTGGACATATACTGATATGGAGTATAATTGGGTCACACACAGTGGCAGCTACCTCAGTGTGAGAGTTTATTATAAAATATTCCATTGTGGTAACTAGAAAAACATTAATAAATTATAAAATTCATATGGCTAAAGACATCATAGACCTGTAGAGACAAGGACAAGATGAACTAAAATTCCAACAAGCAAAGAGCCCTTCATGTGTGAGATAATGATCACCACTCATCTTCTTCCCTGGTGGCATTTTCCTATTCTGGGTGCAGGCTGTTTGGGTTTAGTCCAGGAAGATGGAATCCACTGGTAGTGAACTTCTGAGTGGTCATGAGGGGGCTGGTGTAATGTATACCAGAAACTAGATGAGCCCCCACATGCATTGCGTTTCCCCCCATGAAATATTTACTAAGTTCTGGCATGGTGGGGGGGACTGGGAGGGTGAGGTGAAAACTAAACAGCAAAACAGACTCTCATAGTCTTATGGTGCCAAAGGGGAAAGATGTGGGCTTCGCTGGCTGCAGCAGGGGGATAAAAAGCACTGCAGAGTCTCACACTGTTTAGCAAATAATTCTCACATTTCATTGGCCAAAGCAAGTCATATAGCCTCACTTCATTTCAAAAAGTGGGAATTGCAATGCCCAGGGAGAGAGGGAAGACAGCAGACATATTGACAGCATCACTCAGGGTGTACTGCAATTCCACTGTGCTCAAGCTGTTGGCTCTTACGGGGAAAGACCCTAAGGTGGCCCCCCGGGTCCCCACCTCCTGGTATTTACACCTTCATATAATCCCTTCTCAAGTGTGGGTGGGATCTGTCTGTGACTTGGTTCACACCAACAGGGTGATGGGCTGTACACAATGACGTGGCTGTGACTTTGTTACATGAGGCTAACACTCCTGTTGTGAAGAGACAGTCTCCTTCAAAGGCTTTGAGGAAGGAAGTGGCCACAGCGAGAAGGCCCAATAGTGAGGAACTGAGGGTAGCTTCTGGCTGACAATTGAGGCCCTCAGTCTGACTACCCAGGACTAGATTCTGCGAAAAGCCATGAGAGTTTGGAAGAGGGCCCTTCCCCAGCTGAGCCTCAGATGAGACCACTGCCCCAGGCAAAACCTTAATTGCAGCATTATGAGACCCTGAAGCAGAGAACCCAACCACTGCTGTGCCCAGACTCCTGGCCCACAGAAATTGCAACATATAACAACATTGTTTTAAGCTGCTAAATATGTGATAAAATTGTTACAAAGTAATAGGTAAAAAATACAGCCCTGCCTGAAATCCCATGCTACACTCAGCCCTGAGTCCTAGCCATCCTTCAGGTCTGTTTAAAATCACTTTCCCTGGGAATTCCTTACTGAATCCCCAAGTTTGGTTATGCCCCTCTCTTACACCCCTCCAGCCCATCATATTTGTCACAATAATTGTAACCGGTTTTTGTGTGTAATTCTTGTTAAATGGCCATCTCTGAAGGCAGGAACTGTGTCTATCTCATTTACTCGTGTCCTCAGTCATAGGAGCACTGAGCCCCGCACCTGACACATAAGCCTCTCAAAAACTGTTTTGCAAATGATGCTCGTCACAAGGTTGTATGCATTTGTGTCCATTTTTTTTTAAAGCTGAGCCATCCTGCCACCTGTTGGCAGCTCAGCGGCAGCTCAGCTCGGGCCAGGCATCGAACCACTGTTGCTCAGAGCTTGCACCCTTATTTATTTTTTATTTATTTATTTTATTGGGGAATTGAGGGAGGGGAACAGCGCTGGGGAATCAGGGGGAAGGGGAACAGACAAGTTGCTTTCCTTTTGCTCTTCAGTCTAGTTGTGAAGGACATCACTTCACTGGTCCATGTTGGTATTAGCATTGCGCTTTTCCCGGGTGAGGCAGATCGGTAGCCGGCCTCTGGACGGCTGCTCACAGCGGCTCTTGGCAGCTCACACCGGCTGCTGGCCACTCACGCTGGCTGCTGGCCACTCATGCTGGCTGTTGGTCACACACGGTAGCTTATGGCAGCCCACTGCAGCAGGGGCTGCAGCCTACGCCACTGCCAGCGACTCATGGCAGCCCAGCTCCAGGTCGAGCTGTTGTTCACCATCTTAGCTGTAGAGGGCAGTGTCACTGGCCCTCATATGTGGGATCAAAACTGGGGCCCTGCTGCTCAGAGCTGGTATCCCAAGCCAGCTCTTAACCAGCGTGCCACTTGGCCAGCCCAGAGCTTGCACTCTTGAGCTAGCTCTTAACCAACTAAGCCACTTGGCTGAACTATTTTTTTTTTTTAATGCAAACAACAGTTGAGGACTTGGTTACGTAAATTATAGTCCACCCATACGACAGAATACTAAACAGTCATTAAAAATTGTATTCAGAAGATAATAGTGACAATGTTCTAAATAATGACCAAGTTAAAAGTAAAATACAACAGTATTTAGAATACCCCAATTTTTTTTAAAGTATTATATATAAATACACATACAAAGAAACAAAGAGAAGAAAAGATATACACCAAAATATTGGCAGGAGTCTCATCCGGGTGGTGGGATTACATTGTTTTTTTTTTCTTGTGTTTTTGTATGCTTTCCAAATCTCCTCAGTGTAAAACGAAGTGCCTAGCATGCAACAGATGCTCGCTAAATGTGAATCTATTTCTGCCCTGACTCCTCCTCTCGCCTGTGAGGACAAGAGTCCTCGATGTTCTGGAAAACAGGGAAAACAAAAGCTCAGGGGCTTCCCAAGGACTTATCCTGCTTTGGGCAGGCACCTACTGAAGCTTAGCTTCTTCCGTGGGCCTGTCGCCATGAGCCCCACAGAATTCACATTCAGCTAACATCTGACCCAGTGTCACGGTCAGCTTAGTAGAAGGGCCTGAAGTAGCCACTGGGATTTGGGGCACTCTGTGCTGGGGCTTTGACCTGAAGTCCCCACAGGGGTCTGTTTCCATTGAGGTGGCAAGTCTCCAAGAGATATGAGGTATTTCTGATAGCGGCACAAGCAACATGTTGCTTTGGTCCACACAAGCCCCAGGATTCATGGCCCCCACCTGCCCCGTCTGTTCTCTCACTGCTAGGGAGGAGGAACACACAGGATTTTGAATCAGAGGCTGGGTTTCTACTCCTTATGCCACCAATTCAGAACCCAGGAAAGCTGTTCTGCCTGGCTGAGCCTCGATCACATATCTGAGCAGCAGCATGAACAGCCCTACTTCCTAGGGCAGCTCATATCTGTCTATGGTGGCTACGTCACTACTGTCCCATTCCCCTAGGGTCCCAAGACAGAAGTCAAGAGTGAGTGACAAAGGATGTTTATTTAGGCTCAATCCCTCGATATAGCCATACATGTAAAAATATATAATTTAAAGTCAAGGGAACAGTAATCAGGTTGGTGTCACTTCTCTTCCATTTGGCACAGCCTTCCCACTGGCCCCCTTCCCAGCTGCTCCCTTCAAAATCCTGGAGTGTGCGGGACAGGGGTCACTTCTTGGCAGCTTCTGCCTGAGCTGCCAAATCTGCCTCTTTCTGAGCAGCCAAGAATATGGCTCGCTCCTTCTGGAAAGCTGCCAGCTCTTCTGGACTGAGGCTGCAGGTGCGGAAAACAGATGGTAAGTGAGTGGCCAGTCACCGGTGGGGAGGTCCTAAGTGCCCGTGTCACTGTCTTAGAGCCTTCTCCCCTCCTGGACTTCTCAGCCTCCATTTCTTTGCTCATCTGTTTCCTCTGCCAGGAATGCCAGCTCACCACCTCTGCCTTTTATTCCCTTCTTAGAGCCCTACTGGTCCTTTGAGGCCTCAACCATATCCCAGTCCAGATTAACTGGCCCTTCCTGTGCCCCAAAACACATTGTACAATGAAGTCATCTGGCTGTGCGTGTGTGTGTCCCTGAGCAGGGATCAGATTTATCATCTCTGTATTCCCAGTAAAAGTAAAGATTTGAGAAAAGTAAAGCCCATCCCTGGCCCATGTTTAACCCCACTTCTTGGGAAACAACCAACTGCCAGCCTTGACATGGGGAGTGACATCAGTAGCAAGAGGCCAGCAAAGGGTTGAGTGCTGTCCCCGCTGTTGTCTGGGCTAGATGCCCTCCTACCCAACATCTCACTTCAAAGAAACGATTCCTGAGGTCATCCGAAGCCCCATGAGGGACCAAGCGTGAACTTGAGACAGCTGGAAAGATCCTTTCAGGAAACTCATCCCTGTTTGCCTCGTCTCTCTCATGCTATTTCCCACTCCATCTCTAGTACTATGTACTAGATTACACTGAACTTCACTTCACATTTCCACCTTCCAACTTCACAGGGATCTTTCCACTTCTTGGAACACTTGCTCTCAGTCCTTGACTTCCTTTTCCAAGTCTCTGCTTACACGTCACCTCCCCTACAAAGTCCTCATTGAAACACCAGGCAAAAGCAGGAGCCTTACACTCTGTTCTCAAGGCACCTGTAGTTCCTGTTATCAACACTGCTTATATGGCGGGCTAACGCTCCATTTATGGATCTGCCTCCATCTCTGGACTGTGGGCTCCTTAGGAACGGGGCCAACATTGGCCATCTTGTTCCTAGCTCTATCTAATGCCCAGAACAACGTCTAACACACAACAGGTACTTAATAAGTGTATCCCAAATGAATGTATGGCGCTCCCCACTCCCAAGAAGCTAATGTCCTTTGACTCAGAAGCTGATTCTCCCACTAATAGACCCTTTCAGCTTTGTCACAGAGTCAAGAACTTTCCAGGCCCTTTCCGGGACACTCACTCCTTCACCACACGAATGCCCAGGGAACGGGCAGAGCCAATGATGGAGCGGACAACAGAGGACAGGGGCACATCCTGCAGAGCGAAGGCGTCGTCCTGAGCTTTAACACGAGCGATCTCATACACGTGCTTCAAGGTCACCAGGCCTGCCACCTCCTTCCCTGGAGGAAGAAAACAAGTAGCCTTTCAGGTGTCACTGCTTCCTTCCAGGGCCCCCAGAATCCCAGGTGCCCATCCTGACCCTTACCTGTCTGCCGGGCCCCCTTCTCAATCCCAGCAGCTGCCTTCAGGAAGTAGGAAACAGTGGGTTGTCCAATCTTAATTTCAAACGTCCTATCAGGCTTAATGGAAAAACGAAATATGAGTATATCTCATCCTGCCTCTCCCAACCCCTGCTGCCCCAGCCCAGGGAAACGTCTAATTTCCTGTCTCCCCTTCCCTTAACTCACTGATGGTGTCCCTCCAACAGACCACAAAACCACGGAAAAAATAAATCTGCAGCAAATAGCCCTTTCATCTCTATTCTAGGCTCAACCCTTCTCAGGAAACCCCGGTGAAATGAAGGGGCAAAGGGAAGAACAGCAATATGGCACGGCAGGCTCAAAAAGATATGGTCTAGTCTCTACTGTGTAAATGGGGAAAGTGGGGCCCGGTAACGGGAAGAGGCTTGCCCCGAGTTAGGAGCAGAGTAGCAACCCCAGGCGACCAGACACAAGATTTAGGGAGCACAAGGGAGGTGAAAAAGAAACAGGGGATCAGAGTCCCGACTCTGCACCTTCACAAATATCTTGGTAGGCAAAGGAATGCCTTCTTTGATGTCTTTCGTCTTCTCGTTGAACTCCTTGCAGAACTGGTTGATGGAAACGCCGCGCTGTGAGGGAAGCATAGGGGTTGCTGCGGGCAGGGACGGCTTCCTATCACCCAGGAGGCTCCGTCCATTCCCTCCTCCGTTTTCACTTCTCTATGTTCCCATCCTCTTTTCTCTACCCAAATTCAACTACCACTTTATGTGCCTGATGATTTGTAAGCATGGTCCCTTTCCATCCTCACAACAGCCCGTTAAGGAAGGACTGAGAGAGCGGAGCTATGCAACTAACGCGAGGGCATTAAGTGTGGGTAGCAGAGCCGCGCTTTGAACCGAGGTCTCCCTGGCTCCAGAGCCGGCACCCTTCACCTGGGCATTAGCAATAGTTCCCGCCCTCCCGCGCCGGGTTCCAGCCGCGCGGCACCTGACCCAGGATGGGGCCTAGTGGGGGCCCGGACATGGCCTGGCCTGCTCTCACGATGGTCCGGATCACGCCGCCGGCCTCGGGCTTCCTGACGGCCCGAGTGGCCCGGCTTAGCTTCGACATGATGCGAGGTTCAAGGACTTAGTTCACCTCAGGGCAACAGGGAGCGAGACCGCTCTGGGGGCCGCCATCTTGGGTCAGAGGTCAAGGGTCCTCACGTTAGATTAGGGCAGGTGAAGCCAACAAAGAGCAGCGTTGTTTCAGTCCTTCCACTCTCCAACTATCAATAGTAAGACAAGTACGATGAGATAAAGAGGAAAAAAAACGTTTACCCCGCCATCCGAAGATAGGGGAATGACCCGAGTGGCTCGGGTACACACATGCCTTCTGGACAGCAAACAGGCAGTACCTCGGACAGCTGAACTGAAGAAGGAGGGGGGCCTTAATACTTACACAGCATTGTGGGTATGGTAGTTTTGACTGCTTATGCAAATCCCGCTGATAGCTGTGCGCTAGGGTGCTATCTGCTGGACGTGGTGATTATCTTTGGGTTTGAAATGAACTTGCAGCTGGTTCTTAGGTGCGGGATCTCTTTACTTTCTGAGCCTGTTTTCCTCACCTGTTGTTGAAAGGCGATGTGATTAAGAATACAGACTCTGGGGCCGGCCGAGTGGCGCGATGGTTAAGAACTCGC